GTGTTCTCCCTTATGGAGATCCCAAGGAAGCCTCCGTCTGGCTTTAGGAAAAAAAAAACTGTGACTTGTATGACAGAACAGAGTGAATTTAAATGTTGGTTTTCTTTCTCCTTTTGGTTAACAGCTTTAATAATGGCAGCTGCAAGACCTTTGTTAATCCTCCTACTGGGCCTTGTATTATACACAAATTGGTAAACTATGTCAAATATTGGGTTCAAACTATAAAGCTTATGATTTTAAAGACGCAAGGTTATAAACAAATACCTATATCTGAAAACCCCATGAGCCAATGATTTGGTTCACTGACTAAAATCAGTGGGGAATGCTGTACACTAGCATAAAGAGCTTCGTTATATTTGTATTATGCCAAAGTACCTGTAATGCTGCCTACTGTTCTGTATGTGTTTCCCCCCTCCTCTGGGTGATCTAATTGATATGTTAATGCTTCCCTCTGTAAAGAATTGTAAATCCCTGGGAACCTAACCTAACTGATATGTTAACCATTTTGCCCTCTACAAGTAAGAGATGTGGTGCTAAAATAAGCTGACAAAGGATTGTTAATTACTGCTGGCCTACTCTGTCCTCTGCTAAGGAAAACATTTCCTTAGCAGATTTCCCGATCCATGCCCATAACCCCTTACTTTGTAAACTATGATATGTACAAAAAGGCTACAAGTTTTAAGAGAGACACACAGCTTTTGCAGACTCCAACTGCACTGTGTCACTGGGCCCAGGATAAAATAAATCAGCGCTGCTTTTTAAAAACATGTTTTGTCCCATTTTTGGACTCGAGGTTGGGGACTCTGGGGGCTCACTTGTGGATTACAAGAGGAACAGAATTATAGTCATAATATGACAAGGAGTGTAAGAAATAGTATAGCTGACTCTTACAACAGAATCTGTCAGGTTTTCTTCCAATATATAAATCTCTGATAGTGGGAACTTAGAGGAAAGATAGCCAAAGGAACAGTAAGAGCACGAAAAAAGGCTTTGTATATATATATTTGACAAACTCCAGAATTAGCAAGAAAGTGACAGGTCTGATTAATTAGACCCTGAAATCATAATAAATAAAAAAGCTTTGTTTGATGATGTTGCTGTTGTCATTGGTTTTCCTCTGTGAATTATAAAAACAAAAATGGGAAACTCAATAAAAAATACTGGAAGAGAAAATCAAGAAATCTACCAAAGAACAGAATAAAAAGACAGAGATAGGAAACAGAACAGTGAAAAACATTAAAATTAAAATTGCCCAGAAGTACATAAATTCCAAAGGAGATAACAAAGAATAGTAATGAGTAGCTAATTTTAGAAATCAACAAAATAGTTTCAAGAAAGGACCCTAGGTCTCTGGTTTGAAAAAGTCCTGTCAGGAATTTAATACAGATCACAATAGCTCCATATCAAAGTAAATCATTGTGAAAAATTGTTTATCCTCTCAGAAATGCAATTTCAATTTTTAAAAAGTTGCACAGAATAGGGAATCCGAAGGGATTTGCACTATCTCAGTAGCACCAAATCACGAGACAAGGAGGAATGCTTTGAGGATGCCTGAATGTCCACTGATTCCCTGTCACGCAAAACTGAGAAAGGCTCAGGAAGTGTACCTCCAAGGCATTCTTTGTGAAGAAGCTAGCAAGATGCTAGAACTAGAAAGAGGAAAACAGGATACAAGAAATTCAACCCAGAAGAGGGAAAAGGCTGATTCTCAGGAATATCACAGAGATTCCAGAATGGCAGCTGGGTACCAGATGCAAAGGTTAACAATCCACAGTGACACCATCTGACTAGAGAGAAGGCCATCCTGAGAACTGTTGACACCACTGTCTCCATGCTGTGATACTGTTTTGTTTTTTTTTTTTTTTTAAACCCAAGATCAGAATCCTTGGGTAAGCCTGGCCTGGTTCTTCTTAACCAGGAATCTGTGCACCTTTACAGCATGCTGGACAAGTTCTTCCCACTCTCCTGTGCCTGCTCCAGGGCTCTGATGAGGACCTGCAATGAGTGTGTAACCTGGTCCTCAAAGCTAGAGAAGTGAGCTTAGAGACGAAAACTACAGGGCCACTCACCCCTTTGGGGCGTTGAGTGCCTGCCTACACTGCAGCTCTTCCAACTCTTCTTCCCATGAAAATGCACATCCTCATCCTGCAGTTACAGGAAGCGACTGAATGATGTCATGGTGTATAGGCCGAGGCCAACTTCTTCCCCAGCTAAAACACTAAAAGGAGTCCGAATCCTGGAGAGGGGAGACACCTCTGATGGGCAGTGAGTGTAGGAACATGGATTCCCCGGGAGTCTGATTTCCTAGAGCTGCTGCCAGATGTCCAAGGCTCTTCCTAGTAACTTTCCTTCCTCCCTTCTCTCCTTCACGGGGGTCAAGAGTCAGGCTGCAGTGACCCTGAACAGCTCTCCCAGCACCCCAGCCTGTCACTCTACCACCACCAATGCGAGCATTTTCCCCAATAAATCTCTTGACTGACTGAGGCTTGCTGCTTGCTCCTTTGAGTAACCAAAGTATCCCAAGTGGGGCCAACAGTGTCTAGAACAGAGGCATGAAGCTCTGAATGAGGCTTGTTCACTGCTGGACGGATGAAAAGGTGATGTCCTGAGTGGTATTGGGTCGCTGTGAGTGCCTGGCAGTCCACTGCTAAGGATTTCACCAGGGGAACTGAGAAAATGCCACAGAAAAGGAATGTCCTTGCGATGCCACAGTTCAAGCATTTGAATGGGAAGGGAAGAACAATGCCCACAAAACAATGTAGCTGGCTGCAGGCTGTACCAATGCCCTACAGAAGAATAATGAGAGAGTGAGGCCATTGTCAGGCAGTTAAAAGCTAGATGTGAAAGCCATATGGTGTCTTTGGTTGCTCACAAAGAAGCTCTTATCTCCTGCAGTGAAAGAACAGACTCAGTTATGCAACATGTAAAACAGGAGTGGCATGTGTTTCTGTGAAGGGTGAGATAATAAATATTTTAGGCTTTGCAGAGCAAATAAGATCTTTGTTCCACATTTTTCTTTGTTTGCTTTTAGAATACTTCAAGAAGGTAAAAATCACCCATAGCTCAGGGTGTGAAAACCAGACTGTGGGGAGCATTTGGCCTGAGGACTAGCCTGACACTCCCAAAATAGAAAATATACAACAGTTCAGGACATTCAGGGGTTTAAATGCTGAGCAGAGACAGGTATTTGAGGTCAGGGTCCTGGTGCAGAGCTCCAGATGGAGGCCCTCCAAGATGTTGGCTGGGAAGGTCGCTGGACCCTGGGACTGATATCCTGACCCAGAGGAGGAGCTTCCTGCTGTGCTGCAGAAGGCAGCAGACACCAGCTCAGGAGCTGCCCCTTGCCATCACAGCAGGCTGCCTGTCAGCAGGTGAAATCCCAGCGTGGCCTGGCTTGGGAGGGGCTGAGCCAGATAAGGCAGGGAAGAGGCCACATGCTGAAACAGCGGAAGGTTGCAGCTACCTGCCTGACAAGTACCTCAGAGACTGGGCCGGAGATCCACCCCTAGCTGACCAGAGGGCTGGAACTCAAGGCGGGATAAATAAGAACTGCTTCAGGCACTTTCTCGGGACACAGGTCTGACTCACCCTGGGAAACAGCCCAGGAGATAAAGGAAGCACTCTTACTGTCCGGGTGACTCTGAGGGACCTAAAGCATGTGAGGAACAAAGAGTGGGTGAAGGAGTCAGGCCAGGGGACCCAGTGGGTTGGCTAGGATGGATGTGCTAAGTGTGAGTCAGAAAATCCACTGAGGGGCTGGGGATTTAGCTCAGCGGCATAAGCGCCTGCCTTGCAAGCAGGCAGTCGTGAGTTCGATCCCTGGTACCGATTAAAAAAAAAAAAAAAAAAAATTAAGAAAATCCACTGAGGACTAGGTTCCGGGGGAAAACAGTGGAAGGTCAAGGTGCTGGAGAGAGATGCCAGTACCCTGAGTTCTGCAGTCTCCTCTGCAGGATCGTAGGCCTAAAATGAGCAATTGCAAACCTGCACTTGTTATCACATACAGGACATTTGCCAGCCAACTCCCCTTGGCCTGCCTGTGTGATACAGACCAGGCAGGCAGAACTGTTTAACCAGAGCAGCTAGGAGGCCTTGTGCACAGGCCAGTGAGGTCAAAGAGGGAGCTGCAGGGAGTTGTACAGATGCTCAACAGAGCACAGAAAGTTAGGGGTAATAGACACAGGCAGCCAACAAAGATGCTGTTTAGCATCTGCAGCTAACCAAAAGCAGACAAGGCTGGAGGACAGGGTCATCCTGATGAGCAGGGCTGCACCTCACTCAGTTCTGAAACCCAAGTGGGGAAGCCACCAGCAGAGGTCTTTCTTCTTAAGCATCTTGTAGTAATTAGAGCCTCTATAATTCTCCTCTGGTTTGAACTTCAACAGATGTAGACCTCTAAACATCTTCCGCACTCAGACCACATGCCTTATCGCTTCTCAGTTCCATTGCAATATTTTGATATAATATTTGATGTATTATTAATATATTAATAGATCATTTTAAAAATCATTAAACACTTTAGAATGACCAATATGAAGTTAGTTTTTGTTTTACTCTATTTACTTCTTTCTGAAAGTTAAGTTTTATTTTTCCTACTAAATATAAATTTCTATAAAAAATAAAAGTAAATTTTAAAAAATTCCTCACAGTCTCTCTTTTGGCTTCTGTCTCCATGAGACATTATTCACTACATTCCTTTCCCCTGTCACTAGCCTTTCTTCAGAGGCTCAGTCCCTGTGTCAACTGGCTTTTCTTTAATGTAAAAGAGGATAACACCTAACGTGAGGTCAGTTGTACTATCTGTTCACAGTCAAGTCTTCAATATCTGATCTTAGTTCTTTCAGGTCCTGCTGGCTGACTGACTTGCATAGCTGTCCAAATATTTTCAAAAGCACATCCAGTAGTTTAGGGCATTTTAGTTCCAAGCAGGGACTTTTTTCTTAATGGTGAGGAGTCAGAGCCATAGAGAGCCACGGAGTGCACCTGTCTCTACCCCTTACCTCTGCCAGCAGATCATGTAGCTCTCCCTCGCTGGGGCAGCATCCTAATGATCTGACAATTGTCCCAATCTCTCTGCAAAAAAAGAAAAAAGTTGCCTATAGTTTTAGAATGCAAACTCTGAAAACCGACATCTACATAAATACCAAATTGAATAGTAATCTAAATTCTTTCAACTCAAAGGTAACACAACAAACCATCATACTCAAAGACACTTTCTGGGGGCAGACAAGTGAGCCAAAGAGAGAGGAAAGCAATGCTTTCATTGACTGGCAAGTCTAAGCTCTGCCTAGGCCAAAACCAAGACTCTCTAGAAAAGGAACAGAAAGGAGAGGAGAGGTAGGTCAGAGCAAGGGACAGTGGCCACTTGCTGTTGATTTTAACTGTCACTGGACTCTCTGGAGCCTTGGGCTCTACATCTGTGAAATAAGGGTGCTGATGTCTGTCCCAGAGGTGTGTGGCCAAGTTTACATTCGCGAGGGAGACGGAAAGCCTGAATTCCAGTGCTGAACTGCTAGGGTCTGACCTGGCTCTGGACTTGCAAGAGTGGGCAGGTTGCCTACAGGTGTGAGCCGCCTAGGAACTAAAATACTGTGCTCTCCTCCCGACACTTAGACCTTGCTGGGGACACTTGTGGAGTCACACATGATGAGCTATTATAAAAACAAACAGCAGACTTAACACTCATCAGAGTACAAGTCACAGAAAAAGACGTGGGCTGAAGACTCAGATCAGGTGACAAAGCCAGGGGAGCAGAAGAGCAAGAGGCAGCTGAACAAACAGTGCTTCAGTGGATGGCGCTGGAGAGGCCCAATTGCTACTGATTGACATTGGGGTACGGTGCCAAGCCCAAGTGGTAAAAGAAACTTTGGAGACCAGATCTGTGTGAGCAGGTCTTAGCAGGGGTGGGAAGGAGCCCCTGCAGGGAAGGCTGCAGACAGAGAGCTCCCCAAGGAGGGGACAGCCCTTCCGGGGCTGAGGGCACCGCCACTGCACCCCAGGTCCCATTGCCTGCAAGCTGCTGCATGAGAGAACATGGTGGGGTCTCTCTCTGCCCACCTCTCTTTGAGATCCTGGCAGCCTCTTCTTCAAGCTGCTTTAGCTACATGGCTCACTCTGCCCAGGTGAACCACGGAAAACATGGTCTTCTTCTTCTCTAATCCAGCTGCCTCGCTCACAAGGAAAACAGGTAAGGATTATGTTGCTGATGAGCCAGAGTTGGGTTAAAGAACAACACAGCTCTGTCAGACTCACCCTGTCCACCTGTACCCTAGCTCAGCACTCCTGCCTCTGCCAGCCTTCGGGGCAGCACCTCCTCCTGCGTGGAACTGCTCTCTGCTCTAGGCCCTGGAGGCTTCCTGGGGCTGAGCAATGCACAGCAGGGGGGATGCGAAGCTGTCTTCACCTCTCTTCCACATCCCCGGTCAACACCAGGGGTCTCTTATCCCCTATTTCCCCTCAAGGCTGCGCTAGCTGTGGGGTCCCAGTGAGACGTAAGACAGGGAAAGGTGACCAAAACAAAAAAAAATTATTAATATCTCTAGGTGTGGTGGCACATGCCTGTAATCCAGCGCTTGGGAGGCTGGGGCAGTTGAATCCTTGCAAGTTCAACACCAACCTGGGCTAAAAATCGAGCTCAAATCCAGCCTGAACTATATAGTGAGACGGTGTCTCAAAAAGACAACAAAAAAAGAATATCAAACTTTGTACTAGTCCTGGCTAGTAGGGGGGGGGCAGGATGGACAGGATTTATAAAAGAGATGCAATTTATCCGTTGCTGTCAAAGCCCCCCGTGCAACTCATATCTGTAGCCTTTATTTTGTGGTTTGGAAAGGGGATGGCAAAAACATTTCCAGGTGCTTTTTACTGTCAGCCTGGACAGTAAGAAGCAAGGTCTTTGCAAGGGTAAGCGGGAAGGAGCCCAGCTCAGCTCCTCACTCACCTACCCATGCCCATGTGCACACCCTGCAGCTCCACTTAGCCTCCCCGTCCCCTGCCCTCCTCTGCAAGGAGCTCAGTCACCATGACACGGAATCTCACAGTCCCCGACTGCTCTGAAATGAGCTGCCCAAAACACAACCGGCTTAATCGAGGATGATTTATTACTTTTCACAAACATGAGGTAGCTGGGCAGCTCCCCCACTGGCCTCTCCTGGGCTCACTCCTGGATCTATGTTTAGCAGTTAATTAAGCCACAAGCGGTGCACAGGGTCCCACAGTCCAGCCGCTGGAGATTCCCATTATCACCACCCTGACCTCCAGGCCCTCGCCCTCCAGCCGGCCCCTCTCTGTTCATCTGAGACCTCATTTTCACTCCCTTTGTCCCTGCAAAGCACAGCTCGGCAAAAAGAATTAACAGAAAAAGACTCAGCCCACTCCAAAGTCATTCCCCCCAGATCGGTGCCTGTTGCCCCTGTCCTGGCAAACTCCGGCTACTCTGGACCATCTCTGGGACAGGCTGTGAGCACTGCTCCTTCCTTGCAGGCAGAAGGGCTACCACCTACTTCACCATAGCCCTCATGCCAGCAGCATCACCCTCAGCATCGTCACCCTGGCCTGAGGCCCCCTCCGAGGCCCTGCTTGGCCTCAATCCTATGCTCTGAGTCATATAGAGGAACAGAACAGGCTCTTCTTTCCTGTCACAGGAGTTGACCCCCTGGGGTTCTCTTGGCTGGGTCTCTCGGGCGCCCCTGTCTCTCCCTCTCAGTCTCTCCCCCTTTATTAGCTGCCTCTTCTCCCTGCAAACGCTGACAGTTTTCCTTACCTTGAAAAACAATGATTCCATTCCTGCATTATCACCTCCACCCATTCCACTCTGCAATGTCAAGGCTTGCGAATCACTGCTGGGTTTTTGTTTTGTGTGTGTGTGTCTCCTGGTGCTGTGGCCTCACACACGCCAGGCAAGCACTCTGCCACCATGCTGCCCAGCACGTGTACCCGCACACAGAACTCATGACAACCCTGCAAGGGCCCCACTGTCGTCGCCACTGTGCACACGAGGAAACCAAATCCATAGACACTGAGTAACGCAGCCACGATGACACAATCACAATTTCACTCGGTTCTCAAGATGGGCCACCGCGGGGAGAGCTGTGACATCTGACAGAGGAATGAGGAGAAAAGCAGGATGAGGACCAGGAAAGGTGCCCACCGGTGGGAGGGGGTCAGAGGATCCGGCGTGGAAACCCACACCTCTCCCATCGCGCTTAGCCAGCTTTGTGGTCTGTGCTGGCTATTAGAGAAAATACCTTCCGGTACGAAGCGAACAGAGTTACAGGGCATTGCACCGCCTGCATCAGCCTCCACCTGCAATACCACTTACTCCCGGCAACAGCTCCACGGCTGCGTCTGCTATTTTACAGAGGAGGAAAACAGAAGCACGCCTTGCGGCCTCTGCCCAACACCACGTCGCCAGGGAACGGTGGGAACGGGATTGGCGCACACTCGTCTGAGAAGCCCCATGATTAACCCTGCAACTGCCGCCTCTCCCAGGCTCCACCGAGCATTCAGTGGGGCTTAAAGCTGAGCTTCGTGACTATCGCAAAGTGCTTCCCGCGGAAGCTCAGGAGGCGCACTCCGCAGTCTCCTGGAGGCGGATCCCAGCAACAAATCTGACCCTCGGGCGTTGGCTCAGCACAGTCTGGTCTGCTTATTTTTTGAAATGGTTTTGGTGCTGGAGATGGACCCCAGGGCCTATACATGCTAAGCCACACTCTACCACTGAGCTACACCCTCAGGTGCGGGACACATACATGTCCCGAGAACTGTCCTGTACTCTTTCTGAGCCACACATTTGTGTGACTGCTCTTTCCCCGAGAACCTGTGCTTTTCACTCCTGAAAACTACCTGCTCCCGAATGCACCCATGAGCAGGGCAGGAGAATGAGCCATATGGCCTCAGGAAGCTCTCCCTAAGTCCCCTGGCTCTAGTTCTGAAGAGCATCACTCTGATTTGGGTAAGTGTCTCCAAAAGACCACATGTTAAAAGCATTGTTACCAGGCTGTGGACCTTCTGGGGAGAAATGGGACCCCTAAGAGGTGGGGGCTACTGGAAGGAGATTGAGTCACTGGGCACACCCACACTCAAAGGGGAGATCAGCCCCTCACTCCTCCTTCAGCCACCATGATGTGAACCAGCCCCTCCACCACATACTCCCGCCATCATGTTCTACTGTTGCCCCAAAGCAACAGGCCAACCAGCTATTGACTGAAGCTGTGAGCCAAATAAAGCTTTCTTCTATTTAAGTTGATTAACTCAGGTATTTTGTTATAGAGACAGAAAGGTGACACAAACACACAAGGACCTAAAACCTGCGGTTTATGGAAGAGAATTTTTTTTTCTTTTTCTTGAAAGATATATCCTGAGCATCTCAGGGAAAGAATACAATGTCTACGACTTACTCTCCTACAGGCCAGCAAGAGAAGGAGGATAATATAAAATGTATAAAGAGTGAATCCAGATGAACACACACAGTCTACCACTCTCACAATTTACATGTTTGAAATTCCTTGAATAAAGCTTTTACTAAGACAAAAAACCATACTTTTCTCGGCAATCAAAACCAAAGTACAATATTAGCAGATTATAGCAGAAATCTTGCGTCAATAATCTATAAAACATCGGCTCTTTTGTGTTGTTCTATCTATATCACTTTGACTTTAGAAGCTGTTTATTAGATGTTTTGATCCTGTTTCAATTATTAATGTCAATTATTTAACACATAATTAAGCTGTACCAATTGTAACATTTTCCTTCTGCATTTCATAAGCGAAAATTTGGCCACACCAAAGAAATATAACACACTGTTTTATATAGCAAAATGGAGATGAGGCTGGATACCAGTCTACAGTTCTTTGCAGAGAAAAGCTTAGGAAACTGAAACCATTTTCTTCCCTCTCTAGACACCGGAAGGCAGCACTGTGACTGCCACCTGCTGCTAGGCTAAGGCTGGCTTTGTGATTGCCTCTTGTTGAACACTGGGCTTGAGTCAGCAGAAACAGAAGTGCCTCGCGCCCTGCAGGTGAGCAGCAGCTCCCGGCTGAATGGGAAGCAGTGTTGGTCTCCGGCCCAGGAAG